ATTGATGAATGGTTTTGGTAATATTTAATTATCGTAAAAAAGAAACATTACTTCTAAATGTGTGGTGTTTGAATTGTCATGAAGAAAAGACTACTGTCCAACGGTTGAACTTCACCCTCAGAATCCACACGTTCGTGAAAAAAATGTCAGTTGACTGACCCCCGATCCGAGAGCTGACATCCATTTATAGTCAGAGTCATAACTCCTGTCCTTGTCTTCATTATCTGTTTTTCATAAACATACTGCTAATCAACCGAGGCCTTCCATGGAGGAAATGATGGAGCACATCGACACATTGAATTTGGACGCATGAGTGGAGAGCCAGGTCAGGTGCGAAGCGATGCTCTGGTTCTTCTGACACTACTTCTGCGAAGCAGAACACTGGCATGAAATTTGCCAAAGACAACGGAAACCGCAAACGAAAAGAATAAATGACACAGATAGCGCCACCTGACAGATTACTTTTACCACTCACTCAAGTGGGAATAAGTGGGCAGCGTGAGTGAATCCAGGAACATAGCCATCCAAATGTCTTATTATGACACTATTTTTAATTTGTTAAAAATAAGACTATGTTGATAATGCTCGAGGGTAGGGGTGGTGGGGGTGGGGGTGGCATCCAACCTCATGATCTTTGTCACTTGGGGGCAGTGAGGGGCTTTGGCATAAACCTTCTGTGCTACGTATGCTTCAATGGCCGCTTCGCTGCTCTTCTGAGTTTGAACGTTTTTTAATTGTTTGGGACATATTAATATGTTGGCGATCTACTCGTTACCGGATTAGTCAAGCTGGTTTGATCTGTTTTCTTTGCATATCAGGATGGGACCAGCGTGGCAAAGAAATTGGCAACCGCTTACCGTGCTTTTGCGGCCTATTGCAAGGCAAGACAGGAAACACCAATGATCAAACATTTCACGAAGGACAACTTGGGATGGGAGTCTTTGAGACACTTTCCGCAGTCAAGCTGCAAGGCATCTGACAGCAAACTCATTTTGGGGTTCCTTCTACACTTTTTGTCAAAGCTGGATGGGGATGCAGGTCCTGTTGAACGCGATGCATTTTTGGCTGGAAAGGCCATCGACGACTTCCTGAGAATTTGCTACACAGAAACAACCTTCTTGTCGAGGAACAGGCCATAGGTTGCGTAGCGCTGCTCCAGGTTTGGTCGGAAAAGTTCTATGCTTGCGCGTTGCAATGCAACAGACGTGAGCTGTGTTTCTTTTCCTTGACACCGAAGTACCACTACGTGTTGCACGTCTGCCATGATTTGCGTGTTCAGCTCCTTGCCAACGGGCGTCGCAATTTGAGGGTTTTAAACCCTGCGATCTTTAGCGCCCAAATGGCAGAGGATTACGTGGGCAGATCCAGCCGCCTGGTGCGCACTGTGCACCCAGCAACTGTTTCATTGAGGACGGCTCAAAAGTGGCTAGTCCAAACAAAGAGGCTTTGGGACCGAGAGTTGGAGAAGTAAACAGGCGAATGGACCATCAGGTGTATATAAATATATACACTTTAAGTTTTCGGCGCAGTGCATTCCCAAGAAAATCAGCAACAATCCCATAGAAAGATTTTCACGGAGGGGCCCCATACCGATTTATATACATTTGATGGTTCACGATTGCGGATTGCGTGGGTGTGTCTGTGGTGTTTGTTGTTTGTGTTTGTGTGTCTCTGTGTGTGTAGCACTAAGAGTTATGCCAAAGAACACGCTTAAATATAGATACAACAAACTAAAATGTCACGGATATAAAACCAACTGCCACATCTCGGCATGCTGCATACAGTGCAAGCATCGATAGACCATCAACGAACCATGAAGCAGGATGGTGTGTGCCAACTATACATGCCAGTGCAGAATCGCTATGTCTGAAGCCAAGACCTACCGTGCTTTCGTTTGCGGGCGGATCGGAAATTTGATCGGAAATTTGGTTTTCCACGCATGGTTCTGCTGTGGCCAATGCAGTTTGCTTGGTCTCGAAGCCAGAATCTCCCACCCACCCGGTTCCGTTGTCGGAAATTTGGTTTTCCACGCGTTCTGCTGTGGCTAATGCAGTTTGTTCGGTCTCGAAGCAAAATCTCCCACCCACCCGTTCCCATTTTGTATACATGGGCGCTCGTTCTCCCACATGGGCGCTCAGTCTGCCGAATTGCCAGCCTTTCTGATGCCGCCAAAAAATGCAAAACCAAAAATTTTTGGTTTTTCGCGAAAAACGAGAAAAGGTACTACGAAGCCATGTCTAGGTGTTCCAAGGCACAGAAAGCAAGCCAGAAGACACCCTTCGAGTCAGGAAAACACCCTGGCACGGCGTGACGGAGCAGCCTCCTGCCGTCCCTCTGCCCGGGCCAAACGTCACTCCTGAACCGAATGAAAAAATCAAGGCTCTGGCAGGCAATTCCACTGTTCCAGGGGCAGAAACCAAGCCACAAGACACCCTTCGAATCAGGAAAACACCCTGGCACGGCGTTCCAAGGCACAGAAAGCAAGCCAGAAGACACCCTTCGAATCAGGAAAACACCCTGGCACGGCGTGACGGAACAGCCTCCTGCCGTCCCTTTGCCCAGGCCAAACGTCAGAAAACACCCTGGCACGGCGTGACGGAACAGCCTCCCGCCGTCCCTCTGCCCGGGCGAAACGTCACTCCGGAACCGAATGAAAAAAAATCAAGGTTCCGGCAAGCAATTCCACTGTTCCAAGGCACGGAAAGCAAGCCAGAAGACACCCTTCGAATCAGGAAAACACCCTGACACGGCGTGACGGAACGGCCTCCTGCCGTCCCTCTGCCCGGGCCAAACGTCACTCCTGAACCGAATGAAAAATCAAGGTTCTGGCAGGCAATTCCACTGTTCCAAGGCACAGAAAGCAAGCCAGAAGACACCCTTCAAATCAGGAAAACACCCTGGCACGGCGTGACGGAACAGCCTCCTGCCGTCCCTCTGCCCGGGCCAAACGTCACTCCTGAACCAAATAAAAAATCAAGGTACTGGCAAGCAATTCCACTGTTCCAAGGCACAGAAAGCAAGCCAGAAGACACCCTTCGAATCAGGGAAACACCAACAGCCTCCTGCCGTCCCTCTGCCCGGGCCAAACGTCACTCCTGAAGTGAATGAAAAAATCAGGGTGCTGGCAGGCAATTCCACTGTTCCAGGCGCAAGACACCCTTCGAATCAGGAAAAGGTTCTGGCAGGCAATTCCACTGTTCCAAGGCACAGAAAGCAAGCCAGGAGACACCCTTCGAATCAGGAAAACACCCTCCTGCCGCCCCTCTGCCCGGGCCAAACGTCACTCCTGAGCCGAATGAAAAAATCAAGGCACCCTGGCACGGCGTGACGGAACAGCCTCCTGCCTTCCCTCTGCCCGGGCCAAATGCACTCCTGAACCGAATGAAAAAATCAAGGTTCTGGCACAGAAACCAAGCCACAAGACACACTTCGAATCAGGAAAACACCCTGGCACGGCGTGACGGAACGGCCTCCTGCCGTTCCCCTGCCCGGGCCAAACGTCACTCCTGAACCGAATGAAAAAAGGGCCAAACGTCACTCCTGAACCGAATGAAAAAAATCAAAGTTCTGGCAGGCAATTCCACTGTTCCAGGCGCAGAAACCAAGCCACAAGACACCCTTCGAATCAGGAAAACACCCTGGCACGGCGTGACGGAACAGCCTCCTGCCGTCCCTCTGCCCGGGCCAAACGTCACTCCTGAGCCGAATGAAAAAATCAAGGTTCTGCCCTTCGAATCAGGAAAACACCCTGGCACGGCGTGACGGAACAGCCTCCTGCCGTCCCTCTGCCCGGGCCAAACATCACTCCGACGAACCGAATGAAAAAATCAGGTTCTGGCAAGCAATGCCACTGTTCCAAGGCACAGAAAGCAAGCCAGAAGACACCCTTCGAATCAGGAAAACACCCTGGCACGGCGTGACGGAACAGCCTCCTGCCGTCCCTTAACCGAATGAAAAAATCAAGGTTCTGGCAGGCAATTCCACTGTGACGGAACAGGCTCCGCCGTCCCTCTGCCCGGGCCAAACGTCACTCCTGAACCGAATGAAAAAATCAAGGTTCTGGCAGGCAATTCCGCTGTTCCAAGGCACAGAAAGCAAGCCAGAAGACGCCCTTCGAATCAGGAAAACACCCTGGCACGGCGTGACGGAACAGCCTCCTGCCGTCCCTCTGCCCGGGCCAAACGTCACTCCTGAACCGAATGAAAAATTCAAGGTTCTGGCAGGCAATTCCACTGTTCCAAGGCACAGAAACCAAGCCACAAGACACCCTTCGAATCAGGAAAACACCCTGGCACGGCGTGACGGAACAGCCTCCTGCACTCCCTCTGCCCGGCCAAACGTCACTCCTGAACCGAATGAAAAAATCAAGGTGCTGGCATGCAATCCACAAGACAACCTTCGAATCAGGAAAACACCCTGGCACGGCGTGACGGAGCAGCCTCCTGCCGTCCCTCTGCCCGGGCCAAACGTCACTCCTGAACCGAATGAAAAAATCAAGGTTCTGGCAGGCAATTCCACTGTTCCAAGGCACAGAAAGCAAGCCAGAAGACACCCTTCGAATCAGGAAAACACCCTGGCACGGCGTGACGGAACAGCCTCCTGCCGTCCCTCTGCCCGGGCCAAACGTCACTCCTGAGCCGAATGAAAAAATCATGGTGGCAGGCAATTCCACTGTTGCAGGCACAGAAACCTGTGCACCGAGCACCAAAAACACTTCGGGCTGAGATCTTGGCAGGCAATTCCACTGTTGCAGGCACAGAGTTCCACTGTTCCAGGCACAGAAACCTGTGCACCGAGCACCAAAAACACTTCGGGGTGGGATCTCTGAGATAAAGAAGCAGCAACCCACCTTATGGCCACAACTGATACAACAGAACGTACCATTTCGGGGTGCGCTCCCCCTTGCTGCACCACGGGGTCGGCGGATATATACATTCGTGATTATCGGAAGGAGATGCCTGCGGTTATGGATTTATATGGTGTGTGGCTTGACTGGCTAGGTGGTAGCCGCCTGGTCACAGCTCGGCTTTCCTTTGCCGCCAAAGAGCACAAATGTGGAGTGCAAACACCTCAATGACATTGGCTGCACCTTCGACACAAGAAAGACAAATCTGTTTTTACCAATGATGAATCAAATTGAACAGCTCATCACTAGGAATAAGAAGCTACTAGGGGTTCCTGGCCTTACTACTCACAAAAGTTGCGGTCAATGTCTGCGCGCATCCTCCGGCCCTACACCGTGTTGGTGGGTGCCGAGGAGTTTGGTAAGATATCTACGTGAAAGATATGAACAAAAATGTGCAATGTACAAGTGAGACAAGTCTAGCTACGTGAAACCGAATGTCCGCGTGGCACGAAGGGCTCGAATCATCTAATTCCTAATTCGGATCGGCCGGGATAGACACGGTATCAAGGTCGCCTTTCCGGTTCCAAATCTATCGCAAATTTCGACGATAAAGAAATCGCTGATGAAAAGTAAGCGAGAGTGCTTCGACGACCGGAAGAGACGGGACGATGAATCGCATCGGGATCAGACCATCAGGGTGGTAAGGAGGTTTGCAATGAAGATCGGCAGCATATTGAATCAATGTGCGTTGTACAGCACCGGCATTAGGCATTTGAGGGCGTAATGCGAATCCTCCTGTGTAAGAACGGCCCCAGCCAACTTGTGTTAGACTGATGGATCCGGTCTTAGTGTATTTGGGGAGCAGTGGCGTGCTCGTGTAACTTTGCAAGTAAATAACGATGGTGCGAAAAGCTTCGGCTTGTTCACGGAGGGCCCTTTTGGGTATGGGCAGAGCCAGTACCCTTGGATCTTGCCAATGGACAGGTTGCGCTCTTTGTGAGTTAGGCAGATGCATCCAGGTGGGAAACTGGACGCCGGTATCAACTACAAATGCAACGGTAAGCTCATGCCAGGTGATTCCCTGAGTGATCATTGGATCGGCATGAGCGACCATAGGGTCCGGCCATATGAGAGATGCACAGAAACGGAGCACCAAATCTGCATATTGATTGCCCCACACACAGGCGGTAAGCCAAGCAGGATGGATATCTGGGTAGAAATTAACAACGGGAGGAGGGACAACATAGTGTTCTCGCTGGCGAAAAATGTTACCCCAGTCCAGGGAGGCTTCCTGTTGTGCCGAACCGGTATTACAGGCAGGTTTGGCAGTTTTATGTTGAAGGTGACAGAAGTTGAGATCAGCCAAATACAAAAGGATCGCCTTAGTTTGCCTGTATTGATCTTGATGCCAGATGTTGGCCTTGGAGAACAATTGATCAATGATGGGATGGTCGGTTTGTCGTGCTCGCACAGCCGCGAAATCTGCCCATGAATTGCCTAGTGCGTCGTCGCGCGTAGGACCAGGTGGTAACGAGTTGATGTCTTGGTGTGAGCGGACCTTGCGCAAAACAAAATGCGTAGGTTGCCAGAATTGTGCAATGATGCGTAAGAGATCGGCATTGGCAAGTCGGTGCCAGGAAGGGTGAATGGCAGGATTAGTTGTTTCTCGGATCACGTTAATAACATATTGCGAATCGGTAGTGGTCACGATCTGCTGGTGCCACTGGTGTGTAGATGCGTGTTGAACAATCCAGGCCACTGCAGCAAGTTCGGCTCGGGCGATGGATTGCGCCCCGTGTACGTGCTGTATTTTAATTGTCAAGAATGGTTCAGTACTGAGATCAGGGAGAAATTGCACAACAGACCACGCTGCCCGACGAGTGACCGGCTGGATCGGTGCGTCAGCTGATCCGTCAGTATAAAAATAAAGGACATTGCCTGCCTGTCGGATAGTTGTATGTTCAGTATCGGTGCCACGGTGCCGGAGGAGTTGGCGAATGACCTCCAAATCGGGACAGCTATGTGGCAAAGGTAACCAGAGTTTATCAGGATTGTCTGCAAGGTAACGAACTGCCAATGGGTGTCGCTGACGTACATGCGCAAAATCTGGGCAATCGAGTTGTTGATGGGAATGGGTCTCAACCTGACCACAAAATGGACAGTTGGCGTCGACAGTCGAGGTCCATTGGGCTTTGACAGCACCGACTTGGTACCCTCCCGTCAAATTATATGCGAGTTGTCGAATGGTGGTGACAGACATAGATTGAATCACTCGAGACAACAGGGTATAGTCAAAAGGGTGGTCAGTCGCCCCTTTCCGGTGACAAATATTTCGATGAATATGATAGGCCCATGCTTGACGAAGGATGGATCGAATAGAAGCAAGGGAATCGTGTTGAAGGGAAATGGACAAGTATCCATCGAGGAAAAGAGAACCATCGTCTTGTAATGACCACCCGACTATATTTAAATATCGTGCTAGAGCGCCCGCAGGGCCGATAGCGGGTCCAGTGTGGTGAATTACAGCGTTGGTAAACTCGCTGGCTAGGGCAGGGTTGATGTGATACATACGGCGCAAGAAAGCCAGGGCGGTTGAAATCACATAGAGGAGTGGGTCTTGCAATTGTTTGCTAAAGATATGGACTGCGAGCCAGCTCGAGATCTGGGATTCTGGGCCAACCAGGGCCATGGCTGCCTCCCGGCGTAATGTGCGAAAATGGCTATCCCCAACGACCTGTGTCTCTGCTCCAAAGAATGCGTGGGGCCATACTGCTGTCTGAATGAACCGGGCCTTTTGAAGAATATCGGTGGGAAAGCGACGAATCCTTCGGCATCGTTGGATTGCACTATGGATTTTTGTGTTCAGGTGACCCAAAGTGATGTGTCGAGTGTAGTGGGTCATGCAACCTAAGTCTTTAGTAGAGTTGAGGACTGGGACTTGATTGTTATCTGGAAATTCCTGGTTTAAAAACTCTGTCCAGTCTTTACGCGCTTCACTGGTAGCGCCCCAGGCCCATGATTTGGCATAGTCGATCTGCATGCGAAGAGCGTGAACGAAGTCTTGGATGCGACGGAAAGTGACAATGTTATCACGCTGATTGGTAGTCAAATAGGACCAATTGTCTGCGTAAGCAAAAGGGAAGACGGTAGGTGATTGAATGGTCCAATAAAAGGCCGAAGAGACAACAAGCATGGCACAGACTGACAAACTATCTCCTTCGGGAACCCCTGTGGTCATATGGAGAGGGGGGCCTACGCAGTTTCTGACCTGCAGTCGACGGGTCATCTTACGGAGATTGAGAAACCAGAACTGTACGGAATCTGGCGGGACTCCATGGTAGATCAAAAGGTGGTAGATGACCCTACGCGGCAGGAGATTAAAAGCTTTGATCAGATCAAGCGTAAAACCCCGCCACGGTGCAGAACGATTTTTGGCCTTTTCAATATGAAATTGTTGGAGAAATGTAATGTCTTGGACCCCTCTAAATGGCAACCCACCTGAGATGGCACTCGGCCACGTCTGTGCCCAGTGACTAAGCAATTGATCTGCAATGAGTTTGGACGTCAGACGGCTAAGGTAACCTAAGATAGTAATAGTGCGGCCGTCATTGATAGAGGTAGGTGGGTTCTTTTTGGCCAAAAGTATTACACGTGCGATCATCTGATGCGTCGAGAGCCCTTGTGGCCAAATGTGGGCAAAAATATTGGCCAAATCCTGAATAGCTTCTGGGGGAAGAAGTTGAAGTTCTTCCGCACGCCAGCCATCAATTCCGACTGCTTTAAAGGGCTTGAGTCGCTGAATGGTATGTGTAATTAGTTGCGGATCGGTCCAGGTGATGGACAGAGGAGTCTGTGGTGGGATCCTATTGAGCAAGGAGTGCAACAGTGGGTCCCAGGTCTGATCGGCTTGTTCGTCCTCTGGCGTGTCACGATTCCAAAATTGGGACCAGTATTGCTCAAAAGGGCCGACCATGTCGGGTAGCTCGAATGCATAAATGTTTTGTTGTATGTCGCCATGAGTGGGGAGAACTCCATCGAGGACTTGGCATGTGAGAGAATTTGCCTGTTGTTCTATGATCCGGAGATTGGCATCACCAAATCGAGCTGCAGCATAAAGTCGAAACGTGACTGGTTGATGAATCACAAGGCGAATGGGTCCCTTTGATATCCGCTGCAAAGTGGCCTGTGCTTGGAGCTGGATAGGGAATCCTGGTAAAACTTTAGATTCTTGTGCTCTAAGTTGTTTATAGAAGCGGGAGCTGGATTTGTGTTGAACATCTAATTCCATGCCATATTTATTCGAGAGTCGGCGAAACTTGGCTTCTTGTTGGCAATATAAGTCGGCATCATATTGGGTGATTTGACGAACTGTGTACAATTGATCCGAAGTCGGAAGGTCGGTGGGAATTGCAGCAATGGCCTCAAATTGCAACAACCACCTGGTCCATGAATTGCCATAACCATTGGCCAGTCGGATGGCCTGCCATTGGAGGACAAGCGAAGGAAACTGAGGCAAGGATGGCCAGTTGGCGGCAGGAATGCTATCCAGATTGTATTTTTTATAGAGCTGTTCAAGACATCGCAAACGGCGAACTTGTCGAACTTTGTGGCGGCTCCGAAGGGAGGTGACCTCCACCGGTGGCTCATAACAGCCAGTCCAGTCTTTTTTGGGAGAACGTGGGCTCGAACTATGTATGAGACGTGGTGTAGTACAACGACCTCGGTAAGTCTTCGGCAAAAAGCGTTGACTATTAACCAATGGATCAAGACGGTGCTGCGATTGAAGGACAAGGTCGACTGCTTTTTCCGTTTGAGCTGACCATCGATACAGACTGGTGCTTGCATCATCGGAAACATGAACAGGGCAACTACGTCGTACCCTTCTATATTGATGTGCAAATTCATGACGGTCGATGTTGAAGAGAGTCCATGACCGGGGTACGAACCATGTTTGTGATGCGAAATGTGTAGTTGGTAAATTGAGTTGGACATGAACAGCACAGTGGTCTGCAAACTGGTGTTCTGGACCGATATCAATACGAAAAATATGTGGTAAGAGCGTTGGATGAAGAATCATGGAGTCAAATCGTGTAGCTCCTTTACATGTAGGCGGTAGCTCAAAGCCAAAAGCCCGACGATGGAAGTCAAACATTTCACAGCATCCCATGTGACCAAAAAGCGGCCATGCATCGAGTTTTTGAATGTCGATATTAAC